TGTGTCAATTAATTTTTTGATATCCTATATTTAACTATTTGACACTGTATGTCTATATGGCCAATTTTTCTACTAGTGTAATTAATTAGATCTTTTATTAGAAAACAGACTCACTTGAAGGATGGATTTAGGTCATTCACCTCTATACATCAATGAGAACATAATAAAGTCAAGAATGAAGATCAAGATAATTAGTGTTACTTATGAGTTTAGCATAAGAAATTGAAAAAATGAATGAGGATAACCAAATTACAAGTGGCGGCCCATCAGCTTATAAAGTCAATTTAAAAATAATTTAAAAATGAGGAATATCCTAACTAAAGTGAAGAGTCTTTGCCAATAAAGTTATACGCATTTGTTAGAAAATTTAGAAATTTTTATTTTATATCTCAAAGAGAATATAACTTAATCAAGATAAAAAGTTTAGATGGTATATCTGTATGTTTCACCAAAGAAATTGCAGAAAATGGATAATGATCACCAAACCAGCAAGGCCAAGAGAATTAGATGTAACAATAAATCAATTTAATTGCAAGGCTAATTCTGTTAGATGATAAAAATTGTAGCCGGCTAAGTAGAAGAGGAGGGAACTTGTCCAAATTATAGCTGGAAATTTCTTAGAAGATGCTTGGAAAATGCCAATGAAATGAATATGCAAAAAGATATCCAATGAGGTTATAACAAGAAAGGTGCAAAATTAGTTTATTATTATAAAGTGATCAATAATTATGCAACTGTTTCCTATTATAAAATATAAAAGAAAGACCTAGGTATGGAGGGGAAAGACAAAATGATGACATGTCATGTGATAAATTTTGATTAATTTATTTCAATTGAAATATAAAAAAACTAATTTCATTCAATTTAAAAGTATAAGAGGAGATTTATTTTAAGATAGATAAAAATATATTTCGGTAATCCTAGAAGTAAATGGGTAAATATACTATTTTCATCTTTTATCTATTCTAAAATAAGATTTAATCATTTGTCTTCTCGTTTAAATAAATATTTTCCTCACTGTTCAATATTTTCAAAAAAATTTATCTTTGAAAAAGATGATTTAGTTGTTAGGAATCCCTTCACTTACTTGATAAAAACCCAATAAAAATTAAGGATATTGGTAATTAGTCTTGCAAAATGTAGGATGCAGTGCATGATTTAACATTGTTTAAGGTGATAACTTTGTATGGGAGAGACTGGTTGCAAAATGTATTTCAACAACATATATTTAATAAGTCTCTAGCAGAGTAATGATGTGGCATGATGTTATTATATGTCTTGCACCAAAAAATTTTTTTGTTAGTTGTCTCATCCAATTAATTAGCAAGGCAATTTACCTATGTTTCGTGTAGAAGTTTGGATCTATCAACTATAATTAAAAGGTAAATTTAGACATTCTATCTTTATATATCAACCAGAACATAAGATAATCAAGATTGAAAATAAAAATAAATAACGTACCTGCGAGTTTAGTAGATGGAATTGAAGAAATGGATGTCCATTAAAAGCAACAGCCAATCACAAGTCTAGTTATTTTTAACTAGAGGGATGCGATGCATATTTCCTAGAAGATAATCATGATTTAGAAAGATCTCGAGGAGATACTTGTATATTTAGTAGAAGTACTCAAAAAGAGAACTCACATTATTAATTAAGTAGTTACTAATTAATTTGATAGAAGCAGACCATTTGAAAAAGAAAAATAGATAAAGAAAGATGATTTAAAAAGGATTCATCTAATTTGTATCTTTAAAAAGACTGTTAAAAAAACAGTTAAAAAAACAGTAACTATATTTTTTTGTAAATAATTTATATAAAAAAGATAAAAATTAACTTTAAATTTATCAACAACAATTACAAGGTAGATAAATCCAGTTGAAGAGTCTAACAATTTGTGCTAAAACAATTTAAAATTGACAAGCATTCTAACTAGAATGAAGTTTCTTTGTCAATAAAGACATGCATCTATAAGAAAATTCAGATATTTTTCATTTTATATCTCAAAGAGAATATAACTAAAGTAAGATCAAAGATCTAAATGATATACCTCTTGGCTTCACTGAAGAAATTGGAGAAAATGGACCCTAATTGACAACCAAATCAGGCAGGCCAAGAAAATTAGAAACAGCAGCAATCAATTCAATTGCAAGGCTAATTCTGTGAGATGATAAAAAGTGAGTCGGCCAAGGAGAAGAGGAGAGAGAACTTGTACAAATTATAGCCAGAAATTCAATGGAAGATGCTTGGCAAATGCCCGGAATGAATCTACAAAGACAATGAGAAAGTTGCAAAGTTACTTTATTATAAAGTTATCAATAATAATTTCAAGGGTTGGATTTAATAATAAATAATGTGGTCTTATAAATTAAATTTAAAGTCAACATATTGGGATCAATATCAAAAAGAATATAACTGAACTGAAATCGAAGATCTAAATGGTATACCTCCTGGTTTCACTGAAGAAATTACAAAAAATAGACCCTAATTGACAGCCAAATCAGACAGGCCAAGAAACTTAGAAACAGCAGCAATCAATTCAATTGCAAGGCTAATTATGTGAGATGATAAAAAGTGAGTCGGCCAAAGAGAAGAGGAGAGAGAGCTTGTACAAATTATAGCCAGAAATTTCCTGGAAGATGCTTGGCAAATGCCCGTGAATGAGTCTACAAAGACAATGAGAAAGTTGCAAAGTTACTTTATTATAAAGTGAATAATAATAATTTTAAAGATTAGATCTAATAATAAATAACGTCTCTTATAAATTAGATTTAAAGTTAACATCTTACTATCAACATAAAAAAAATTACTCTCTTTAAATCATTTACTTTTTTGCTTTTTATCTATTCTAAAAATAAGTTTCAATCATTTACCTTCTCTTCTAAGGAAAGTTTTTCTCAATATTCCTTATTTCTAAAGAATTTTAAATTTGAAAAAAATAATTTAGTTGAACTCTGGATGACTTAGGGATTCTTTCACCGACCTAATAAAAGCTATGCCACAATGGAGGACATTGATTTAAAATTGTTTGTTTAAGATGATACTTTCGTTTGGGAGATTGGTTGCAAAATATTTTAACAACATATATTTGGTAAGACTTTAACAGAGTCATAACATCGCATAATGTTACATATTAAACTTTTAGTTATTCATCCCATTCAAGTACTTAGTGGGGTCATTTGTCTCCATTTTGTATTGAAGGTAACTAGATTTGTTAACTATAGTTAAGAGGTGAATTTGGGCACGTCACCTTAATATATCAATAAGATTATAAGATAATCAACATTAAAGAAAAAGATAAATAGTGTACCTGCAGGTTTAGTGGACAAAATTGAAGAAATGGATGTCCATAACCAAATTAAAAGTAGCAACCGCTTAGCTTAAATATTCCATGCCTAGTTATTTGTAACCAGAGGGATGTAATAGATATTTCCTGAAAGACAAATATGATGATTCAGAAAGATCACTTGGAGACATTTGTATGTTTACCAGAAGTACCAAAAAAAAAAAAAAATCTAACATTACTAACTAAGTAGCTACTAATTAATTCGATAAAAGTAGACAATTTGAAAAAGAAATCCATAAAACTAATGAATATTTTAACTAACGAAGATTTTTTGTTATAAAGGCATGCATCTATAAGAAAATTTAAATATTTTCATTTTATATTTCAAAAAGAACATAACTAAATCATGATCGAAGAACTAGATGGTATTCCTGCAAATTTCACCAAAGAAATTGTAGAAGATACAAACCTTGATTGATAACCAAATTAATTAGCTAAGCCGAGAGCATTAGAAGTAGCAGCAGCGAATCAGTTCAATTGCAGAGCTAATTCCGTGGGATGATACAAGAGTGAGTCGGCTAAGGAGAAGGGGAGAGAACTTGTACAAATAATAGCTGGAAATTTCACGGAAGATGCTTGGCAAATGTGAACGGAAGAAAACCCTGTCCAAGGATAGACTAAAGACACAAGCTCTATTGCTTGGGATACTGCAGGTGTTGGGAATTAAAGTTTGCTTCTCATTTTAAAACTCTAAACGACTGCAAATTTCCTGGAATATATTGTAGTGGTATTGTTTTGTTTTTATTCAATAGGGCTATGATGGTCATTGCCTGGACAGAATAATAGGAGTGCAATATATTGTAGGTTTGCTTTAGGTGAATGTCCCAAAGAAATGGTCCAACAAATAATGTCGACTATTCAAAACTATGGGTCCTACAAATAATATTGTCTTGAGATGCATGAAATTGCTGGATTCAACTAATTTAGTGTAATCTATCTTAAAAAGAAAATTATCTCACATGTGTTTTACGTACAAGTTAAAATATATTAAATATAT